AAAAAAAAAAGTCAAGTAATAAATAGGTAGTGCATCAAGTACGAATATAACTGTCTTAATAAAACAACTTTTTAGGAATCAGGGACTACAGGAAACCTATTTTCATATTGTATTCGATTCCACCTACAACACGCAATATGTTATGTTTCGGCAGAATTTTCTCTGTTGCACAGTGTAATTTTTCTTCAAGCACTCACTGATAAGCAATCAGTTTTGTTGTTGCATTTTAATGAAGTTTACTTATGTGTATGTTTACTTAATTGAATGCAAAAGTTTGCATTATAGTCCAACGATTCAGTTGTTCGAAATCCTCTTTGTAGTAAACACCTTAGATTTTAAAAACACCTTTAAAAACAAAAAATGCGTGTGGCCGTTATTGGTGGCGGTATAAACGGCATTTGTAGCGCCATAAAGATTTTGGAGTATTTGAAGGCAAGTGGTTCACCAGTGGAGGTAACAGTAATCTCAGAAGCATTTTCACCTAATACCACCGGCGATGGTTCAGCTGGCCTATGGGGTCCTTATCTGCTCGGTGGCACCCCCACCAACAGAGTACAGTAAGTGGAGAGTATGCAATCATAGACGAAGATATGAGTATTTACATTGATATGAATAAATATAGAAAACAGATAAGAAAACTTATAACCCAGTAAAAATTATAATCATCCAAAGATTAATCTTAGATCGCTACTACTTAATCTTAGATTGGACTACTCCACAAATCTCCAAGATTCTTTTGAGCTCAGAAACGGGAAGAATCTCCTTAACTCGTTTATTACTTCATAACGTATCAATAAGCGGGAAGTCAACACAACTTTTGGAAAAACTAAAAAATGCCTTGATTTCTCGATTCGTGGCCAAATAGATGAATTAATCCATAATTTTTTTTAAATCTTAATTTCAACATGTGTTACGGTTTAAATGCGCTTTTCTCGTACATTAACGTTTACCTGATAAACGCTTTGAAAACATACATTTGTGAGCTTTCTTGAGTGTCCTTATTATAAAGACAGTTTGTACTTTTTTAATTGCAGTCGCTGGTCGAAGAGTATGCATGAATTTCTAGAGCAAATCTGGTTATCTGATGATGCTGGTGAGGCAGGCGTTTGTCTTATACCCTGCATTAGATTGACGACTACCACGATGGATAATGATGTATTTTGGAAGGATATTGTTTATGGTTGTCAATCGCTGACACCGAGGCAGTTGGATGAGCTGAACAAAGGAAGATCAAAGAAGTATACGTAAGTCAAAAAACAGTAGTGACAGTTTGGGAAATGATGTATGAAGCGCAGTCTTAAAAATTCCATCAGTCAGCAAAATGTTTAAAGGACATTAGCTACCTTTTTTATTTGCAGAAAATTTATTAAAAACCTTGAAAAATGAAGGATCTTCGGAAGTTAGTAGTAATCTGAGAGCTAACTTTCGACAAAAAATTTACCGTTAACATCTTTATACGTAATTTCTAAAGCTACACAAAGTGTGGAAAATTGTGTTAAAACCGAAAATCTCCAGAAAGAGAACGAATGCGAACTAAAGGTATAGCTATAATTAGGAAAAAAAATTGTCTTGTTTGATAAAAAACTGTTTGGGCCTTAAAATTACCTTCCAAATAGAGGTTTTAAAATTTTTTCCTTTTTCGGAATCTTTTAAACATATATTTTAAATTTTCGGAATCTATTTCCAAGGACACAAGAACAGATTTTTCTTAATAAAATCATTACATTCAGGTAAAAAGGAAACATGTTCAGAAAATTTTATTTTTGATGATTGAGGTATTTTACCGTAAAAAAATATGTTTTTTTTTT